GCATAGTACAGAGAGATCAGCTCGGTGCTTTGTGACCACTTAGAGGGGTGGGATAGGGAGGGTGGGAGGGAGGGAGACACAAGAAGGAAGAGATATGGGAACATATGCATATGTATAACTGATTCACTTTGTTATGAAGCAGAAACTAACACACCATTGTAAAGCAATTATACTCCAATAAAGATGTTAAAAAAAAAAAGAGGGAAGAGACATAGGAAACATATGTATATGTATAACTGATTCACTTTGTTATAAAGCAGAACTAACACACCATTGTAAAGCAATTATACTCCAATAAAGATGTAAAAAAAAAAAAAAAAGACCAGATCAGAAATAAATGAAAAAGATATGAAGGAAACAATAGCAAAGATCAATAAAACTAAAAGCTGGTTCTTTGAAAAGTTAAACAAAATTGATAAAACATTAGCTAGACTCATCAAGAAAAAAGGGAGAAGACTCAAATCAATAGAAATGAAAAAGAAGTAACAACTGACACTGCAGAAATACAAAGGATCATGAGAGATTACCATGAGCAACTATATGTCAATAAAATAGACAACCTGGAAGAAATGGACAAATTCTTAGAAAAGCACAACTTTCTGAGACTGAACCAGAAAGAAATAGAAAACATATACAGCCCAATCACAAGCACTAAAATTGAAACTGTGATTAAAAATCTTCTAACAAACAAAAGCCCAGGACCAGATGGCTTCAGAGGCGAATTCTATCAAACATTTAGAGAAGAGCTAACACCCATCCTTCTCAAACTCTTCCAAAATATAGCAGAGGGAGGAACACTCCCAAACTCATTCTACAATGCCACCATCTCCCCGATAACAAAACCAGACAAAGACATCACAGAAAAGAAAACTACAGGCCAGTATCACTGATGAACATAGATGCAAAAATCCTCAACAAAATACTAGCAAACAAAATCCAACAGCACATTAAAAGGATCATACACCATGATCAAGTGGGGTTTATCCAGGAAACCAAGGATTCTTCAATATACACAAATCAATCAATGTGATACACCATATTAACAAATTGGAGGATAAAAACCATATGATAATCTCAATAGATGCAGAAAAAGCTTTCAACAAATTTCAACACCAATTTATAATAAAAACTCTCCAGAAAGTGGGCAAAGAGGGAACCTACCTCAACATAATAAATGCCATATATGACAAAAGCACAGCCAACATCATTTTCAATGGTGAAAAACTGAAACCATTTCCACTAAGGTCAGGAACAAGACAAGGGTACCAACCCTCACCACTATTATTCAACATAGTTTTGGAAGTTTTAGCCACAGCAATCAGAGAAGAAAAAGAAATAAAAGGAATCCAAACTGGAAAAGAAGTAAAACTGTCACTGTTTGCAGATGACTTGATACTATACATAAAGAATCCTAAAGATGCTACCACAAAACTACTAGAGCTAATCAATGAATTTGGTAAAATAGCGGGATACAAAATTAATGCACAGAAATTTCTCGCATGTCTATACATTAACAATGAAAAATCTGAAAGAGGAATTAAGTAAACACTCCCATTTACCATTGCAACAGAAAAGAATAAAATACTTAGGAATAAACCTGCCTAGGGAGGCAAAAAACCTGTATGCAGAAAACTATAAGGCACTGATGAAAGAAATCAAAGACAATACAAACAAATGGAGAGATATACCATGTTTCTGGATTGGAAGAATCAACACTGTGAAAATGACTATATTACTCAAAGCAGTCTACATATTCAATGCAATCCCTATCAAACTACAATGACATTTTTCACAGAACTAGAAAAATTTTTTTTACAATTTGTATGGAAACACAAAAGACGTGTATAGCTAAAGCAATCTTGAGAAAGAAAAGTGCAACTGGAAGAATCAGGCTCCATGACTTCAGACTCTACTACAAAGCTACAGTAATCAAAACAGTATGGTACTGGCACAAAAACAGACATATAGATCAATGGAACAGGATAGAAAGCCCAGAGATAAACTCACACACATATGGTCACCTTACCTTTGATAAAGGAGGCAAGAATATAGAATGGAAAAAAGACATCCTCTTCAATAAGTGGTGCTGGGAAAACTGGACAGCTACGTGGAAAAGAATGAAGTTAGAACACTCCCTAACACCAAATACAAAAATAAACTCAAAATGGATTAAAGACCTAAATGTAAGGTCAGACACTATAAAACTCTTAGAGGACAACAGAGCAGAACACTCTATGACATAAATCACAGCAAGATCCTTTTTGACCCATCTCCTAAAGAAATGGAAATAAAAAAATAAATAAACAAATGGGACCTAATGAAACTTAAAAGCTTTTGCACAGCAAAGGAAACCATAAACAAGACAAAACGACCACCCTCAGAATGGGAGAAAATATTTGCAAATGAAGCAACTGACAAACAATTAATCTCCAAAATATACAAGCAACTCATGCAGCTCAATATCAAAAAAAACAAACAACTTAATCCAAAAATGGGCAGAAAAGCTAAATAGACATTTCTCCAAAAAGATATACAGACTGCCAAGAAACACATGAAAGGATGCTCAATATCACTGATCATTAGAGAAATGCAAGTCAAAACTACAACGAGGTATCACCTCACACCGGTCTGAATGGCCATCATCAAAAAATCTACAAACAATAAATGCTGGAGAGGGTGTGGAGAAAAGAGAACCTTCCTGCACTGTTGGTGGGAATGTAAATTGATACAACCGCTATGGAGAACAGTGTGGAGGTTCCTTAAAAAACTAAAAATAGAATTACCATATTACCCAGCAATCCCACTACTGGGCATATACCCTGAGAAAACCAAAATACAAAAAGAGTCATGTACCCCAATGTTCATTGCAGCTCTATTTACAATAGCCAGGGCATGGAAGCAACCTAAGTGTCCATCGACAGATGAATGGATAAAGAAGATGTGGTACATATATACAATGGAATATTACTCAGCCATAAAAAGAAACAAAATTGCATTATTTGCAGTCAGGTGGATGGATCTAGAATCTGTCATACATAGTGAAGTAAGTCAGAAAGAGAAAAACAAATACCGTATGCTAACACATATATATGGAATCTAAAAAAATAAATGGTTCCGATGAACCTAGGAGCAGGACAGAAATAAATACACAGACACAGAGAATGGACTTGAGGACACAGGGGTTGGGAGGGGAAGCTGGGACGAAGTGATAGGATAGCATTGACATATATACACTACCAAATGTAAAGTAGATAGCTAGTGGGAAGCAGCTGCATAGCACAGGGAGATCAGCTCAGTGCTTTGTGACCACCTAGAAGGGTGGGATAGAGAGGGTGTGAGAGAGGTGTAAGAGGGAGGGGATATGGAGATATATGTATACATATAGCTGATTCACTTTGTTATACAGCAGAAACTAACACAACATTGTAAAGCAATTATACTCCAATAAAGATGCAAAAAAAAAAGAAACCCAACCATTTATGGAGCACCTACTGCTTGCAGGGCACTGTGCTAGATGCTGAGGTATTAAGATGAATTAGACACAGTCCATGGCCTCAAGGAACTCTGATTACCACAGAGGACAAAAATGTAAGCAAATTATTCCCATAGAATTGGTATTACGGTAGAGGAAGAATTATTGATTTATAGAGTAAGCTGAACTAGGAAATTGATTTTGATTAGTTGTTGAACTGTTTTAAATAACATAGTCACACCAGATGCCTTAATAAACCAAAAGAAAGAGAGTTTATTGTAGTCAAAATAACTGTCTTCTATCAGAAATTTCCACATTTGTCTATCTCATTTTCAGATTTAAGATGTATACAGAGTAAGACAGTCTAAGCGTCACCTGAATACTAGCTGTATGTCCTTTGGAATGTTATTTATGTTCCCTAAGCCTTGGTTTCCTCAACTGGAAAAAACATAAGTTAAGTATCCCTGCCCTATTTAACTCTGAGTATTGTTGTAGGAATGGAAGGAGATAATATGAATGCTTTATATATATTATATGTGATCAAACCACTTCTTCTTTCCAGAAAGACTACATTTCTGAGCCCCTCTGTAGCTAAGGAGAGAATTCGACTAATTCTCACCAATAGAATATTAGTAAAGGTGATATCACTTCTACCCCCAAGCATTTAAAGTGGGTGTATTTTCTTCACAAATCATCTTTTCCCCTGTGCAGCAACATGGGAGGCCTTGCATTCCAGATGGCCTAAGTACAAAATTGAAGAAGGTGGTCCAATCTGTATTGGACTTGGTATGAGTAAGAAATAAATGCCTACTTTATTGTCACTGAGATTTTACTGTGTGTGTATTACTGCAGCATGGCCTACCTCATACTGACTAACACATAACAGATGTAAATTATTATTTTGAAATGCACTAGCATACTTAGATGGTCTCATTACCTGGCAGCTCTGGGACTGTTTATTGCAAAGCCTCAGGATCAGCAGTCCTCAGAGCACTTGTTATTCTATAGTTAAAACATTCTCCTGAATACTGAATAAAATGTATATGACCTTCCATCTCTCACTTCTAGTCTCATTTTTCCCCTCTCTTCAAATCAAATGCTAACTTCAGCATATGTTCTGAAACTCTTAATGAATGTGTCTGATTGCCTAAGAAGTCAATATTCCAAATAGGTGATAGATGTCAATTTGCCAATTTTATTCATGTCAGAAACCAACAGCTTTAAAAACTTCTTAGCTGGACAACAAAGATGTTGATCACAACAAGTAAAGGACTTGTCTGCATCTGCAAAGAGACTTGTTACCTAAGGGAAAGCTGTCAAAATGGTGTATTTCAGACTAGAAAGACTCAACACAAGAGCATTTACTGTGGTGTGCATCACAGATGAAAACATTAGGAATACTTACCAAAGTCACTTTTTTATAGAAGTTCTTGTTGCAGACATCATCAGAAGTTGAAAAATACACAAACATGAAATGTATACAATTACTACAAGATCATAGAATCGTAATGCTCTGGAAATACCTTACCTGTTCTAAATTTAGCCTCTAGTAACATATTCATTACCAACTTTGATTCTAGGATGGATCAAGCCCTTCACCACCTCAGAGGAGTTAACGCCCATGAGGAAAGCAGCTTTGTCAGCATCTGGTCAGAAGAAAGGAAGGAAAAGAAGGGAAGGAGGGAGGGAGAGAGAAAAAGAGAAGGAGGAAAGTGGGGAGGGGGAGAGACCAAGGAAAACACTATTAAAATTCATTCCACTATAGCCCAATAGACTACCCAAAAGATGGAAGGGTGGTTTGTTTAGAATGATACAGCAAGGTAGACTGTAGTTTTGAAATAAATGCATGAATCCTAAATGTTTAAAAGCCTCTATTTCTTAGAAATGCAAATCAAAACCACAATGAACTGCCACTTCACACCCACTAGAATAGCTATAATCAAAAAGACAGACAATAACGAGTTTTGGTGAAGAAGTGGAGAAATTGGAACCTTCATACGCTACTAGAATATAAAATGGTACAGCTGCTATAGAAAACCATTTGGCAGCTACTCAAGAGTTAAACATAGTTACTATAGGACCCAGAAATTCCACTCTTAGGTATACACCCAAGAGAAATAAAAGGTATGTTCACACAAAATCGTTGTACACAAACGTTCCCAGTAGCATTATTCATTATGGCCAAAACATGAAAAAAACACAAATGTCCATCAGCTGATGACTGGATAAACAAAATGTGGTATATTAATACAATGGAACTTTTTTAGTCGTAAAATGGAATGAAGTATTGATGCATGCTACAACATGGATGAGGCTTGAAAAGTTTATAGTAAGGGAAAGAAGCTTGACACAAAGGCCATATATTGTACCATTTTATTTATATGAATTGTCCAGAATAGGCAAGTCCATAGAGACAGAAAGTAGATTTGTAGTTGCCAGGGACTAGGAGAGAAAGGAATGGAGAGTAGCTACTTTAGGGTACAGGATTTCTTTTTGGAGTAATGAAACGTTCTGGAATTAAGTAGGCGTGATGGTCATACAACATTGTGAATATGCTTAAACTCACTAAACTGTGCATCTCAAAAGGATAAATTTTATGATATGGGACTTATAACTCAATTTTTAAAAAGAATCTTTTTCTTGATACTGGCCCTCTTCTGAAAAGAACTATTTATCTGAAGGACATGAAAAATCTCATTTTCGTTATTTGCCTATTTTCCCCTTCTACATATACATTTGTAGATCCTTTCAATGAAACTGGAACTTGGACCATGTCATTGGATAATTCAAGACAGCTGCCAATCAACAGAAGCCAGAACACTTGCCCAGTATCTTTCAGAAACCTTTCCTTTTCAGGTGAAATCTCTGCCCCATAGTGCCCTCTGCTGCCTAACAAGAATACTTACAACCCACACAATTGTACTTTTATAAAACAGCACTTCTATCTTCTCAGGAAAGAAGTGAAGAAGAATAAGTGTTATCAGAAGGAAAAGTAAATAGACATGTATCACACCAGGTGTTAAAAAATGGCAATAACACAAAAGAATGCCACAGGCAAAAAGTTATAAACACATTTCAAATTGCAGATTTTTTCAGTTATCAGACAAAAGGAATATTTTACTCAATTGAACCTCTCTGCTGTCTTCCATTTTAAACGAATCCTGAGATATGCTAGTATATCTGATGTAGTAACTCCATAAAATTAATGTCTTCATATAGAAGAAAATGCAGTCTTTCCTTACTTCACTAAGAAGTACAAAATTTCCTGAGCAGTAACCACAAATAGAGAATAAAGTAAAAACAAAACACATTTAGAGAGCTGTATGTCATTTGTACTAACAATATCCATTTCCTTTCTGTCAGCCTTTAAAATTTTCACAAAGGCTTGAAAAGCTTGAAATGCTTGATTTACTTGTTAAATAAAATCAATGTATACTATACATACATTTCTAGAAGCTCTACACCTACTCCATATCAATGATAATGGTCTAGGTACTCAGTTGCTATGAAACCTTTCAAAATGCAAAGCCCTTTTGGGAAAATAAATGGAAGAATCAAAAGTAAAGCAGACATACTCATCCTATGCTGAGTTATTCCTGCTAGGAGTGCCATGTTTGGAGACAAAAGCCTGATTATTTCAAGTTGAGAAGCCAATGGGTCAGAATCATAGACTTTTTGAACCAGAGGAGACTTTAAAGAGCATCTAACCCAAAATGAAAATATTTCAAAGGAAGGGAGAAATGCAGCGTGCCTGATGAATCTGAGCAGAGATGAATAGTAACCAACAATGTGAAAAATGAACAGTTCCACAATATCTGTCCAGAAAAAAAAGACAGGAGTTCGATTTTCTATGCATTGGAAGCATTCAGATGGACAATATAGGTAACAATAGTCTCAATCTCATACAACATTTTCCCAGTGTTAATGACAGTCCTTTGAGTCTATTTTTATCCATGAACAAAGGAAACCAATTCTCTGTACAGTATCCCACCTTAAGCTCTAACAGAAATAGCCTTCAACATTACAGAATTATTTCTCATCTACTCCAGAGACACTCAAGGATATGCAGATAGAGGAGTAGTGGATTTATCCCGCAGGTGTACATTAGACATCTCATGTTCTCCTTTTTTTTTTTTTTACAGAAAATAATAGTTGTCATCATATTCAAAAAAAAAAACTTCATTTGCATTAAAAGTTAAATCTATGAATAAATGTCCTTCTGACATTTAGGAGATGCCATCATGAAGACAGCATCATCTGTAAACATATTTTCAACATGTAAGCTGATGTGTTCCCCAAAGAGGCTTTATGAAATTCCTATCAATAAACATCATTTTCTAGGACGTTGTGAATAAAACCATGAATTTTAACTTGGGTTTTATGATATTACCCGGGAGAGGTTTAGCTAGAGGGGGTTCTCAAATGGTGGTGTGGATTAGAATAGCCTGGGGAGCTCATAAAGGAACAAAGGACTAGCTCACTGAAGAAGGTTAGGGTCTGGGCCCATTTTTTAGCATGTTTGCCGGGTGATTCTGATACACATGAGGGTCTGAGAACAGTCCTTCTCAGAGGGTCCTCAACCTTGTCTGTACATTGGGGTCACCTGGCAAGTTATAAAAACAAATCCTTATGCTTGCATCCTCCCTCAGAGATTGGTTTCCTTTGGTCTGGGTGAGGCCTGAGCTTCAGGAATTAAAAAGCTCCCCAGATGCTTTCTGATGTGTAACCAAGTTTGAGAACTACTCTCTAGAGAAGGGTAGACAGGTTTGGTAAATACATTTAGAAGATGGAGAGAACAAAGTCTGACTGCAACTGAAAACAGGTAAGGAGGTAGAGAAAAACAAGAGGCAATCCTTTCCAGTGTGACAATTCTATCCCAGTTCTATCTGATCTGTAAATAACCAGATACAAAGAAACAAAATCCAGTTTTGTCAAACCACAATCTGGCTAATGTGGAAAAGGGTTTTGAAAATGATCTTCAATTAGTCTTTTATGTAGGGTTATAATACGGTTTCTGAGCTGTTCAAACTTCCTTAATTTATTGAACTGAGTTTCTGAGCACTTGCTATGTGCAAGGCCTGGTGCTAGATGCTATAGTAAGAAGATAGATAAACAAGACAAAAATCCTTGCTGTCAAGGGGTTTATAATCCATGAGAGTAAATAAAACACAGGCAAAAATAGCAAGTCAATAAAACAACTGCCTATAAGAGACAAATCATGAGTATCATGAAAGTTTGAAAGAGAAAGAGATCCCTTCTGGACTGCATGACCAGAGAAGACTTCAAGAAAGAAATAGCATTTCATCTGAGCCTTGGAGGATGAGAAGGGCTTTGATGGGCAAGTATGGGAGAACAAGCATTTCTGAGACAGGGAACAGCATGACTTAAAGGCCCAGAGGCAGGCAGTGCGGCGATGGTCAAAGACGGTGGATAGTACCAACAAGTTAGGAAGTGAGATAAACAGAAATGTGGGTGATTTGTGGTCTCAGGAGACATCTGATGCCACTGTAAGGTATTAATTATATAATGGGGATATGTTAAAGGGCTGTTAGCAGAGAAATGGCATAATAAGAGTCAGGCTTCAGAACGATTAATGTTGTGGAAGCATGCAAGATAGACGAGAGGGAGGAGATTACAGAGAAAGCGAACCCACCGTGGGACACTGGAGTGCAAAAGTGCTGAAAGTCTAAACTAAGAACGGGAAAGGGAAAAAGAGAGACTGAGAAACAGGACCAAGAGGTTTCTAACCCAAGAAGCAGAGAGAAGAGCAGTACTGTGAATATGAATAGAAAAGTCAACAGGAAGACATCACTTGGGGGACGCGATGATACACTGAGTTTTAGCCATGCAGGGTTTAGGGTAGCAGTAGAATATGCAGTAGAAAGTTAGAAATATGAGGTTGGGACTCAAGAAGGAGGTAAATGCAAGGATGTCCCCTTAGGTTTGGGTCCCTTCCCCCTTTCCATCCTCTTCTCCATCTGTCCAGCTCCTTCAATTCCTTCTTAAATGACTGGGAGGAAAATTACCAGTGCTTAATATATCAATATTAAGAGCCCTTAGAAATCAATAAGAAAAATCCCGTACCTCAATTTTAAAAATGGGCTAACAATGGAAATAAAAATTCAAAAGAGAAACAATACAAATAGGTAATAACCCACAAAAATGTTAACTTTATTAATGCTTAAATGTAAAATAAAATCTGGCTAACTGGCAGGAGGAAAATTGTAACTGCTAATATTGGTGAGCATATTGAGAAAGTCACTCAACTAGAAAAAGACAAAGGATATGTCCTATGTCCCTGAGTGGGTAGGATTCATTTAACAAATAATTATTTACTACTACAGTAAGGGCTACTATGATACAGTGCCAGGCACTGTATTAAAACCTAGAAATACAGCAGTGCATAACAAATTAGGCCCCTGCTCCTACGGAGCTTACATCTGATGGAGACTGGGGAGTAAGACACCTAATAAAAAACAGCTGTATGAATGACACAAACAAAAATATTCAGGGTAAGGAGATAGGGGATGATGAGAAGGAGGTGGGGGCAGTCATGGAAGGGTTTTCTGATAACATAACATCCAAGAAGGCACCTTGACAAAGTGAGGGAGTCAGCCATGAAGATACCTAGGAAGAGTCCCAGATA